AATTGCTCATTTCTGTTCTTCCTGCAGTGACTGTCGCCTGTTTCCCTCCACTGTCTTTTCAGATTGTGACAGATTCAAATAAGAGCGCAAAAGATAATGGGTCCCACAATGGTTCCACCTCATTAGTGCACATCATCTTAAAGTGTCCAGAAGAAGGTTATATAAGGCCCTCCAGTCACATTCAATGCATCAACTAAAGCTGAAGATGGCCAGGGAGGCAACAGCAATAATGACATAATGACACACAAGTTATATTGAGACATAATAAGATGAATGCTCAACTGCTGAAAATCAGGTTAGAGCATTTTTATAGAGAACTAGTAAATACAACAGTTCTTCCAAGATCATTAGCTCAACTGGACCTGCGCTTTTAGCTGAAATTGTTCAAACTATAAAAGCATCATTGAAGGATGGTAAATGCAGTGGATAGATTTTCCTACAAAGAAAATGATGTAGCTTGCCTTACCTGTAGTTACTGAACAAGTTCTACTGCAATGTACAGACAGTGTGTAATTTAAATCAAATCACTTTTGGTTGATTGTTGTTACATCCGGTATCTGCCACCATTCTCTACAACCTCTCTGACCCTGACTAATTTCATCTTCCCATTCGCTACATCCATAAATCACTTTTTATACATTCATACTAGTGTACTCTATTCTGTATGGTGTTGTGTGTTTATTGCTCTAAATTTGGACCTTCTTTCTGTGAGTGCAGTCACCTCCAATAACATCTCCGTGAAGACAAGCAGGTGGTTGACCCTCGTCCAGAGAAGTTACATCCCACACCTTTAACGCTTGGGTCGACTCAAATGTATTAGTGCAAATGTGATAATTAAATTCATCTTTCAGTGATATCAAGAGCCAAATGAAAACTCAACATATATACATTTTATTGACCTAAACACGTTCAAAACATCTCCATCTGGCCTTCTTGACGTTATCTAACAACATCAAACATTTTCTTGACACATTCCTTCCTTATCATATAATTCAACATCTCCTCTACACGTTTGAATTTGGGGGTGGTCTGGCTTGACTGACAGGTCATGATCGATACAAAGGGTCTACATGTTAATCTAGAATGGTTGATGGACAGATTTGTATGCTGTGTGGAGGTTTAGTGGTAGATTTGGTTATCCCCTGGCCTTTTTAACCCCAGTTTACCCCTGCAGTGGTGACCTTTTGCAGTGGCCCTACTCCCTGATTGATCAGCTTGTACTTGTTGTCATGCCCCATTTCCACTGGCTGTCCATTTGGGGGTGATGGAATAGGATTGGAGATGTGACCCCTGTGCTCCTCTTTGTCTCTTGGGAGTTTTATCCAAGACTACCCATTGTGCCAAATCTAGACAGCCAGCTTCTGGTAATGCTTCATTTAGATTCAATCATATGGTCACGGATCACAGGAGACTCCTCCCATCTTTAGTAGCTGCTTAGGATGCAGGCACTGGCAAACTAATCACTCACACATTCATTCTCTATCTGCAATTTAGAGTAGGAAATGTACGTAATGCTTTTATTTGAACAGGAAGTTTCTGGAGACCACACAGAGAAGTTTACCAGCAAAGAAAACAAGACTTTTAATAATGTCAATAGAACATCAATGTTCAAATGGTTGTGTTGCCATTGCTGCGTTTAATGAAGCTTTTAGAAGGTTGTCAGGTGTTTTAGCAACAATGTGAGATTTTTATTTAAGTTGAATGAATGTATTTCAGTCATTCACAGCTGGAAAATTTCTATTTATTTCAAAGTTCAAGAAGAGATCAGACTAACTGAATATTTAACTGGAGAGACTATGCTCCAGACCTTCATAAAATATAGTAGTTTATATGTGACCTCCCAGCCTTAGCTAATACCTGAAATTACAGAATATTGCCTGCAGATGGAAATTATCTTCCAAAATTTGAATCTGGTACCATACAAGTATTTTTGCACTTGGGCATAAGGCTACCTGTACATTGTCCTGTTGAATGATTAAAGGGCCCATATTACACTGTTTTCTGATCTATGTTAGAATGTTCTTTCCTCATCAAAAATATGTGTTATGTATGGGGTTGTGTTCACACGGGGTTAACACACAAATCCTGCATTTTTGAGTTCTTCTCTCAAACCAAAAACACTCTGTTCCACCTTATGATGTCATGTGGTAATACAGAAAATGTTCCATTGTGTTTTTTATGCTCCATGCACCTTCACTAGTCATTTGGATGATTTCAGTACTGTAAAAGAGAGCTGTTAACTTGGAAGCTACCACAACATGACATCACAAGACTGAACAGAGAATTTTGAACTTTGAAGATGTAGACATACTAACAATACATGGTTCCTCAAACATGTGCGAATGAATGAATGTGAATGAAAACACAATTCTGGGTATGTTTTTGAGGAGGTAACAACATTATGACATGGCTTGAAGCTTACAAGAGGCAATTTTGCTTAATATAGGGCTTAAAAATAAAAAGGAATGAAATGAGTGATGCAGGTTTGAATCCAACTTCATCTAGTTTAACCAGACACTAGAGATACACTGTAAAACCAATGCCAGCAAAAACATAACCTCCATCATGAAGGTTAACGCTAAATAACTATGATTTTTGTTTTTACCATCAAACCACTGCAGATGAACGTGTCTCCATTGTGCTTTGTCTATAGATTCTGCGCCTCATTCTGTCCCGTCCTCCATAACCCTCTGTCACTGTCTCTTCCGCACTATCTAGTCTCTTCTGCCCCGCCGGCGTCTCCAATAAAAGAGCTGCGCCGATGTTATCAGTGCTCCCAGTGTGGACCAGGCCTATAGTGTGTGAGTGTGTCAGACAGATTGCTCCTCATAAGACTGAGGGGCCCCAGGCTAATGTCACTACAGTCCTCCAACACATCTCCTCCTCACTGCGCCGCATGCTGCAAGACTAGGCAGAAAGCACAGCCCGCGGAGATACCCAGTCTACCCAACTCCATCAAACAATGAGCCCTACAGGAGCTCAGCAAGAATGTATCATTAAAAAATACACTGCAGTGAAAAATGATGGACAATTGGCTGAATCATCTTTAATAAACTATGGGAAAAGGTCATGGTAGAAGCTGGGTATGCAAAGAACTATTAGTCTTGTATTGTTTTTAGTTGACTGGGTTGTTGAAGCTGCACTGTATCACTTTTTAGTGTAGAGTCAAGTCCCCTGTTTTTCAGTTGATGCGATTGCTTTTCCTAGAATGTTTGACAGTATGGCATTAAGCTTAAAACAGGCAGGTGACGCCATTAAGCCAAGTTACAGGTCAGATCAAACCTAGGTCAGAGTATTAAAAATACTCATTTTTGAAGGTATTGTGAGCAATTTTTAATAATGCAACCACTGAATGCATTTATCATAGGATCTTTGTCTGTCTTTGTTTGTTTATCATAGGATTTGTAAAACAAAAGGCAGATAACAAAAGAAAGAAATTTAATTGTCATTGAAAGTTACTGTCGGGATACCGCCAGAGGAACTGCAGAAGCATCTGGGGTTAGGGAAAGCTAGGAGTCCCTGCTTAGATCACTCCCCCCGTGACTCGACCCCAGATAAGCACAAGAAAATGCATTGTAATTTATGATGATAGAAGCATTTACCATAAACAATAAATAGTGACTGTAAAATTCCAGATATAACAGTGTTCTTTCCATTTTAAAAAAGTCACAAAACATCATCATTTGATTAAAATTAGATGGTTCTAATATGAGTACTTCAAAAACTATGGCTCAAACAATAGGGCTAATATCTCACTTGTTCTAGCTCCCTGAGCTCTAAATAGAGAGTCTAATCAACATTAGGAACCCACGTGAAGAGGCAGGAGATGTAGTAGTCATCAGTGAAGTGGCTCTTAAAACATATTGTTATGCTAAAACCACTGAATCTAAAATCCACATTCTTTACACAATGGGACTGGAGACAAAGCTCTGTAACATGCAACAGCATAAATGAAGGTCGGTTTTGTTTCAAGATAATTGAGATTTAAATGAATTAGCCCTCATCATAGCGTACCAGAACCAATCATGAAAACGTGTTTTGGATGGGAGATAATTACTCCTTTATTCCATTACTGACACAAATTGTACATCTATAATCACACTGAACAAAACAAGATCATTTTGATGTGAATTGAGACATGGCTTTAAAGGTGCACTGCACTGTGTAACTTTTCTGCCTGAGGGCCCAGCTTGTCTTCACATAGATGTTATTGTCATAAAAATACTTGTAACTGAATAAATGCAAGATGGTTATGTTATGCCACACTGTGGAACATTTTAGACAAAATGATAAAGAGACAGGATGAGACAGTTAGAAAAGTTACATTGTGCATCTTGGAGCTGAATTTGAAGTATTTGTGGTTTTGGTAGTCATAAGTAGTTCTAGCGGTAAAGGTATGGCTCTGTTCTGAACACTACTGAATGAAATGTTTTATTGACTGCAAGAAAATATAATTATATAGTTGGGAACACTGAAAAACTGCATCGATTATTCATGATTCTATACAGCTGCAAGTTATACTCATGTAATCTTCAAGAATTATATTAAAAGTACCATATGCAACTTTTTCATATGCAACCTGCTTATCTCCATGGAGATTTTATTACTTTGCCTGTAATATTCCACAATATAGCATTAAAGATATCTGTGTCCTCAGTGACAAGTGGAAGTTACAAGTCAGATTTGTGGAGAGGTAACACTGCTAATAGAAAAAATGCATGTTTTTAAGAATGCATCTGAGAAATAAAATCATGTTATGTTAGATATATTTAATCCCACTGAGGGCGCTTTTACAGGTAAAGAAATAACAACTCCATAGAGTGGACCTTATCGGAAAAGTTATATAGTGCATCTTTAATAGATACAAAGTAATCAGAATTGCTTTACAATTGAGATGAACAGGAGAAATGTATTGAATTGTGTTGCAGCTCTCTGTCTATATATCTAAGTAATCATCAAAGTGCTGCTCTTGTGTACCTCTCAGTTGAGTCGATTCTTACCTTTTTGATGCGCCCACTCTTGGTGCCCAGAAAGACCACGCTGTGCCCATTGTAGATGTAGGAGGTGACAGAGGTCAGCCTGTCCCGGCCCTCTGTGAACACAGTGTGCCCTGTCACCAGCTGGGACCCCCCTAAGGGCTGGTTTATGTCCAGGCCGCAGAAATGGTCATCGATGGGAACAGGCTGCAGACAGAAGGAGAGGAGTAAAGATCGAATTCATATGATGTCATAACATTCTGCAACACTCAGATAATCATTCCATGCTCAAGTCTGTCTGATGATGGCATGAGACAGAACAGATACTAACTAATGGTAAGCATGGATCTTGCAGTTTAATGCATATTTTGTTTTATTAAAAGCCACTTCTATACCTACTTTGTACACTAGAGAACAAGACACATTTTTACATAATTTATGATAACCAATTATGCAGTTCAGTACACAATTTTGGTTTCACAAATTTTCATTCATTTGTTTTATATATTTGAGGTCATTATAGTATTGCTTTTTTGAATCACAGCTTCTCAAGGGGTGTAACAAAAAGTGTTGTTTTATGTTGCACCATAACACCGAAGCAAGTTCCTAGTCTGTGAATATAGTTCACTGACAATAACAATAAAACTTTTTGGATTCTGAACTAACCAAGACTCATAATTGTTGAAAGCTGTTATAAAGACTCATAAAACATACTGAATTCAGCTTTTAAAGATATGTCTATTATAATCAGTTTTGCAAGCAATACCAACCCTTGCCCTTCATCTAAGTTTCTGACATTTCAGAAAAATACTTATAAGTGGGTTAGGGAGATTTTTGGGGGGTTGGTGTATAAGATCCAGCAAGTAACAAGAGTCTGGGGAAGAGCAGGGAGCACAGATGATGACCGACTAAGAATGACAGATCTGAGAAAGTAGTTTCAAGCTGATGAGAGAGAGGAAAAAAGTGCAAGACAGAAAATGACTGAAATGGCTTCAGACACTTACGCATATGAGAAGAGCACTCGAACTGACTTGGACTAAAACCAACATGCGTTAAGCTCAGGGTTTCTGGGTTAAAATGGCTACTTCAAATGAGCTTGTATTTATCAACAAGCCTCGGAGCGGGCCAAGTTGTGAGGTCGGCTAATTGCAGATGGCAAACACATGAAACGGTATGTGTTTTGCGCACATTTTCTGTGATTCTGAGGTTGCTTGATCTGACATCACACAAACACACAGTGCAATAGATGTCAGGTTGTGATTAGGCATCAAAGCACGACGTGCTTAGCAGTCCAGTTACATTGCATTACATGCAAATCATACTGCTGCTAATTGCTTATCATTCAGTATATAACTTTTTTTTTTTCTTGGATAATTCTTCATTTTATAACCTGTATTTTCTATGCAAATATGGGTGCTTCTCACAAACTAATTCATATTTGATTTTGTAGAGTCAGGAAAAAAAATAAACATGATAAAAATAAACTTGATGTCAATCAGTGATAATAATAGATATTTCAAGCTAAGTTCTATGAGAGCTGCTGGCTAAATGCATTATATCCAACCAAAAATGTGCAACATTTAAAATAAGAATATTTCTCAATGAACATACACCAACTGGCCACCATTAACTCTCCATTTTAGGAAAAAGCTATAACGACGCACAGTTAGAACTAATTGTACTCAAATGGCTCTCTACCTGCCAAACTAGTAATTGCATTACGACTGAATTAGCTTCATAGTGGGAATGGACCAAATTGCATGGCAGAAAGTACTGGAATAGTGTGGCAGTGATGAATATGATTGTTTTCAAGCTTGTCTGAACCAAAGCTGCTCATTATACAGAATTACAGCTTTCACAAAAGGCACAGGCCTGGACCTTTGCAGGAATAAATCCTTTCTGAAGATCAAGCGCAGGTCTCAGAAGGCCCAAATTCAGCGGACAGCGACTTGAAGAGAAGGAGAAAGGAGAAAGAGGAGGAGGAGGAGAGGGAGGAATGGTAGCCTAAAGCTCTGAATGGACTCAAAGCCTCACACAAAACTCTGTGATTAGTGCTGTGAATTAATCTCCTCCAGCTCCTCTGCTCTTGTGGGACCCTAAAATCATGAATGATGTCTTGAGCCCAGCTTTGCCTATCAGCTATTTAGGCAGCAACAACAATAGTGGTTTAGATGAAGGAAAGGCCACTGAGTGAATGTACACACTGGTTGCACAAAAAGTCTGTTGTTTCTTTGTTGAAGACAAACTAATGGAAAGAATAATGCATTGCAGTTATCAAAATCAAACATTTCTTATTAAAACAATGAACATGTATATTTGATAGGGTGTTAGTTTTAAACAAAACTTAACTAAATGCAATTCTAAATCAACTTTATAATATTGTCAGAATGGTCAAAAAGGGAGTGGCTATTATTAACACACACCTACTGTTAAAACAACAAACAAAAAAGCTTTTTATTAAAAGATACTCACAGCCTTGGTGCATTGGACGTCCTTCCCCAGCAGCCAGTGCAGCTCCAGGTGGCCCTCACCCTGGTAACAGGACTGCAGCCGCTCCTTAATGCGTGTGTTGATGTCTTGTATAGTGAACACACAAAGGGCAGAGTGGTCCGGAGGGTCATTGTACTGTTTCTGCCCTTTGGAGAAGACCGTGTAGAGCACATCCTCCTGAGCGCTGATGTTCAGAGCCCGCGCCAGGACTCGACCTGCCTTTGACAGGTGCGCCGCCTGCAGCAGTCGGTACTCCTCACCTTTGTGCATGCAGCCCACCGGGAGTGACACGTACGAATGGAACTTCTTGTCACCTTTACAGAGGCGGATGATTCGAGAGGTGTAAAACAGGTCACCAGGGGAGCTGCCAGCAGGCATCCCATTCTCAGGGGTCTCTGGTTGCACGGTCATGAAGTAGACAAAGCTGCCACTAGCAAACCCATAGATGTAGTAAATATCAAAATGTGGTACAAGAGCTAGAGTGTCTGAAGGAATTTTAATAAGAGATGACACAAAGTCAGTGTGAAGCTCATAGTCCAACATAGCAGATGATTCTGGGTCACGAGGAAGCTTGCGGCTGGAGATGGTCGGAAAATAATCCTGTTTGCCTCCGACGGCAGTACCTATGTACAAAGTAGCATCTTGGCCTTGAGAGGGCACCACCACCCCAAACATGGTCCCAGTCTGGTTGTCACTGGACAGATAGTGCTCTTTCTTGTGTGTGGGCTCTACCAGGATGAAGAGGTCATCCAGCCTCATGAGTTTGCAGACTCCTTGGTACAGACTGCCACAGGCCAGCAGTCGGTTGTGTGAGTAGTCAATGAGCAACAGCTTATTGACATTGTCTGTGGAGGCAAGTGGTTCAGAGCAGGGCTGGACAATGAGAGGAGGGTAACAGGCTTTGTTGTCATACTCTGGTCCAGTGTCATGGGAGACCATCAGAGTAAGATTTGAGGATAACTTGTAAATGCGATTGACCGCTCCCACATACAGCGCTCCAGTGGACTGGTGCACAGTCAGGTGGTTCAGGGACCAGTCCCTCCTCTCTGACTGGAACGTGTTCAGAGTCTGACCAGCAGTTGTTTTCTGATTCATACAAATTAAAGTCAATAACAACAGCGGCAGGGGCCATGGCATGACTTTTAGTGGATTGTGACCCTTTGAGAGGCCACAATAAGTCCTTCCTTTGTCCAAGCACGCTTTCATCCCAGCGGGTCCAGAATAATTGAACTCGAACAAGTAAACAGGTGGGTATCTGCCAGATAGTTTGGAAAGCACTGAAAAATATGTGCTTTGAGACACCACACAGGTTCCTCTCCAGTGATCCTCACATCGTTCTGAAAGCGAAAAGAAAGAGATTTGATTTTTAGCTCAGAAACAAAGGTGCTATCAGGGTGTCATTAAACTTTTCATGTACAAAACTACAACACAAAAAGCTTCAAAGGAACAAGTAATGGTTGCTCAAGCTGTCTTCACATATTTACCACCAATGCGGCAGTGTTCTCTTTATCAGCACAGGGGCTCATTATATTTGCCTCTGTAAGAAAGAACCGTCTGTAGCCTATTACTTGAACAAAGCACAGGCACAGTGCAGCTCAGCCTACCCTCTGTTTGGGTGGCTAATTAAATGATCCAAATGTATTAATTATGCGTCCATATTTGGGTCTCTATGTTTTCCCCCCTCCCCTGTCTTGTTCATTTAAATGGTTGAATCCAGGAGGAATTAATCACTCCAGTGTTGCAACCGACATTCCAAAATTAATCTGGCTTTTTTTTTTCATTGGATGGCATTGGAAGTCATCAAGGATTCAGGCTGCATCAACCCTCACACAACCCTCTTTAATTTCATTAGCATATTTTATGTTGCTATTTCCAAGAGGACAAACAATGACCCTCAAACCAGCTATAGAAGGGGGAATGAATGAGCTACAGTAGGAGCCTGAAGACAGATGTTTGATACGGCATTGTTTCTTGTCTTTGTGCCTGGCATGTTTATATTTATCATGCTAGTGGAAAACTCGAAACAGTAAAATGCATTTCAATCTGAGAATAAAAGAGGAGATTTACAGAAGGCAGCACAAACGCAGCGGGATACAGCCACTCGCAAATGCAGTTACTTCATCAAAGGCCATTAATGGAGTCGTAAAACTGTCATACATAGGTGGAGGGGGCATAAAATAAGGCACCTATCAAAAGACAACACAATCTCTTAGACTTTTGTGTAATTTTCCATTGTACACTGCCCTTGCACTTAAAAATATCACTAATCCCACAAAAAAATCTCCCAAATTTCACAGATCATGTACCAATACTGGATTTTGATATTAACTAAAATGCTTGATGATCACTACAACAGACAACCCAATTGCATTTTCAACATAAAATTTGTTTTTTTAATATAGTTTATGGTACTGGTCCTGATATATAATTATTCAATTAAACCAAAATTCAACTAAAATGTTGCCTTATGAGATTTTGTCTGTATCAACACGTTATATTGAGTCAATATCAGTATTCATATTTGGGTATGCTTAAAAGCAACTTTTGGCAGAGTCCCCAGTAGACAGGGTGACGGCTCAGTGCCACTCGTTGGTATAAGTAAAGGTTAAGTGAAGACAGGCGTGTCAGGTGCTAATGTGGGGGTCAGGGCGCTGTGGGGCTGTGATGGGGGGGGTTTGGCTGACCAACAGGATGTCCGGCTGCGGGTTTGAGCGCGGGCCAAGGACAAGAGCGGATGGACAGACACTGAGAGGCCTGGTCCATCTCCAGCTCCACTCCAGCGTCTCCTGTCCATCTGTCCTCACCACACAAGGCACTGAAGGGTCTCGGCATATTCGGCTCAGTCTGGCAGGATCTGAGGGTGAATCTGCCCTACTAATTAAGCATTTAATACTAAGAACTACTTGGCAAAGTGTTTAAACTAAAGAGTACTGTGTTTAAAGTGTTTAGTAACTATTTGTCCAAGTTTATACAAAAGAGAGGCTAAGTATTCTGTTGATAAATTTGGTCAGGATTTAAAAGTAGTCTCCATGATCAGAAGGCAATGACTAGTACACTTAGTAGAGTTTACTTCTACTGAATGGGTTTTGGAAATGGGAAGTATATAAGTAAAAGTATATATATAAGTATATATAAGTATAAAAGCAAATCAAATTCAATATGAAAAAAAAAACCAAAAACTCAAAACTTAGGCCATAATAGCTAGAGAAAACTAAATAAAGGCCAATTAGACTGACTTGCTCCTGGTATTCAGAAATACAAACAAAAAATGCTACTTAAAAAAAAAAATTAAATGATAAATCATACATGAATGAAAATTATATTTAAATGCAGAGTTGTAGTGTCAAAAACACTTCACTTCACAATGAGTTATGGTAAGGCTTTTGTGTATTTCCAACACATGGTATTAGGATGAGAAAGTTTCTACATGGCTTTGTTGTAAAAGGTTTCCTGTCTGGACACATTATTCATACAAAGATTTTGGCAGCATGTTACGTGCAGTGTTTTCCTTTTCCTTTTTTTTTTTAAAAATGTCCTTGAATTATCTACTGGAAAATAATTCAGCTATGTCTGTTTATGCACACTTCATTTCTGCTTTTGTCCAGGTTTCACAATAAGAATGAACACAACATAGACAAATTGAATATTTTCAAAGGGGGTTTTGTTTGGTTCATAATAAAATTCTGAACGGTTTGATTTGGTTTGTCTTATTTATTTGCCAAAATGTGAATTACAGAATACATTTACCAAAATGCTCTACTTGTGGTTTGGGAAGAGTACAAAGAGTTGGAATCACATTTATTAATAATTGTTAACAAAGGCAAAATATTGTGCTACGGCTTGATTCTTAACCACCGAAAGCCAGGTACCAATGTCCAATGGTGTCATTGGTAAGTAGTTTCTTACCACATTATGTTCCGAGTTACATTGACATTTTTTCAAGACTTTGGGAAGGTAAACTAAGGGAAATTTGAGTTAGTCCAGGGTCCAGTTGTGACAGATGAAATCAATGTTATAGAAAGTTTTTTGCACTTGAGAGTGTGTTTTAGGATCATCAAAATGTTACGCATGGACAATCATCCAATTTCTGTTCATCTTATGATCAAAGTTCACATTTCCCTCTCCTGAGTCCTCTACAAGAATAAAGACTTAGAACTCTAGCGGCATGACAGCAGATATCAGATTTGTGTCTCCAAAGTCAGGCCATGACCTTTAAGAATTTGACACCAGCAGTGCCACTCAGGGGTTAATTCAGTGTAGTCAAACTCCTTTGTGGATTACAAAAATGCATAGGGAAAACAAAATAGGAAGCGGCATTGGAAGAGGAGAAAGACAGGCATGCAGGAGGCAGTCTCAGCCTCATCGTTTCATCCATTTGGGCTGTGGCGGCTTTGGTCACGTCTTAGGCGTGCAGTCATGCTGCTCAGTGTTTACCCGGGATTACAGAGGCAGCTCTTGGCCCCGCTGAATTCTCCGCCTCGCCACTCAGACACGCTCCAGCCGAGACGTGACTCATTCACACTCACAGCACACAGGAGCGCCCCCTGGGGACACGTGCTCTCAGCGGACACCAATCACAGCCAGGGGAGACAGAGGGGAAGAAGGATCTGGGGCTTCACAAACATGACCTCTGACCTGGATGAAGAACCAGAGTCATTCTATGAGGTCATCTTAGTATATCAAACATGATGTCATAGTTTCCTGACTTAATTCAATTCATGAAGATTACTTGATAGATCTGTGTGGAGTGTAGGATGGTCTAGTAAAAGTAGACAAAACAACATTCTAAGGGAATGCAGATATTGCAATAATAGCCCTAATGGTTATAGATTTTTCTCTTAATGGCCCCAAATCCATAAGGCCAATCAATACTGTTCGAATGCTGAAAGATTATTTGTCTACTAAATCAGTTTTCTTGTTTGGACAATCTTGAGCTACAATACCATTTCAGAGTCAATTTTGTCTGTTATTTTTTTCATCATTGATTACATAGCAGGTATTTTTCCCAATTAGTTTTAAGGGCCAAGGCAATAACTTCAGAAAGGCCTGTTTTTAATAAAGCAATGGTACAAAACAAACCTCTTGCCTGAATTAAGATTTATGACCCATGAGACAAAAATGCTATCCTAAATCACATTTTTGCAAATAATATTCAGTTTGTTGTTAATTGTTATTTTATTGTATTGCTCAGGCTCATCTCACAATAAGAGCAGCAGACTATGTGGGAGAAGAAGTAGTCTCAAATAACACTCACCACGATTACAAGCTTCTTAGCAAAGGATATTACATTTTCTGTCAATTGTGAAAAAGAACAAACATGAAATTAAATTGCTTTAAACATTTTGGGCTTAACATAATTTAAATGTTTTGCTATTCTTTGTTTGTATTATTAACAGTGTTGGGAGTAACGCGTTATAAAAGTAACGAATTACAGTAATGCATTGCTTTTTGCTGTAACGCAGTAATGTAAGGTATTACGGGGGGGAAATGGTACTATTTTACTCAGTGCAAATGTGAGTAACGCGCGTTACAATGCTTTTTTAACCTGGATTGAAGTGGTGGGTTTTTCTTCGTACAAATTCGCTAAAATCACCTCGATATCAGCAGCGGTGAAACGCCGGAGACGCGGCTGCGTAGACCTTCAGGTACCCGCGGGCGAAAGGACCGACGCAGAACTCTACGCTGTTTAGACCTGGTTTAGACCTGGCTCAGTTCTGGTTTACAGTCGTCCGAAGTGCTGTATGTTTGCAAGTTTTCTCCCCGACAAAACCCACAACACCGACAAAGGCTCCTGCGCTCGCTCCCAAAAGGCAGAGGAAGATGCTCACCATCGCACAAAAAGTTGGACTTGCTGGACACGCTGAAGGAAGGTAGAAGTTACGCGCTGTAGCAGAGTCTTACACCGGGTCGGGTACCCACAAATACTTGCTGAAATCAGGGCCGCGAGCCCGCGGAGCACGGTGTCCATAAAGCGCGATCGGGCAACAGCCGCTCTTTACCTTCGTGAGGTGCGGAGCAAAGCCGCTCCTTTCTCCTGCGGTCACTTTCGAGCCCGTCCCGACAGTGAGTCCTGTTTTAGTCCTAGTTCAGTTCTGGTTTAGTCCTGGTTTTGTTCTGGTTTAGTTCTAGTTCAGTCCTGGTTTAGTTCTCCTCTTCAGTCCTGGAATCAGTCCGAGATTAGTCCTGTTATAGTCCTGGTTCAGTCCTGGTTCAGCTCTGGTTTAGTCCTGGTTTAGACCTGGTTTAGTCCTGGTTTAGACCTGGTTTAGTCCTGATTTAGTCCTGGTTTAGTCCTCGTTCAGTCCATATACGGCACAAAAGTTCAGCATCTTCACAG